AGCTGGGTCTGCTCTGAGATTCAGAAATTCAGCTCTACTTATTCATATACACTGTTCCCACAGACATGAAAAACTGACCTCCACATGCACACATACAAATCACAAATACATCATTCCTCATATATGCAAGACACACTCAGAACTTTAATTCTAATGCCCTATAAAGGAGGTTTCCAACAGCAGATTCCACCCTGCACTAAAGGAGGCCGCCTCTCCCATAAACACACATGCATGCACTCAGGTGTGGAGCTACCCTGCTGCCCTCAAATATGCCTGGACCAGGTTGCACTTCATAGATTGTATTCAAGCTAACCTCTAGTAGGAGTTCTGTACAAGTAAAGATAGAAGATCTGACTACATAGTGTATTCACACCCAACATCCCACACATAGGAGGAAGCAGATTAGTGAATACAAGGTGTGCAAACACTCAGGGGTACACAACAACATGTGTATCCAGAAGTATGTGCACCCTCAGATATGCCTAATGCAAAGCCCCAATTCCTACTGTGCAACTGGGTGAGTCCCATGGGGTCACTGTAGTGGGAACTAGGCCTTGTTGATAGGAACTAGATAACAAACATCAGTTACATCTTGTATATTAAATTACCGTGTCAGAGCTCTGCACTGTCAGCTGTAGCAGGGCTTAGTGCCTATTGCCTCCTTAAAAGCAAAAAGGAAAAGCCCCAAATCCTACCATAAAACTGGGTGGGTCTCATGGGTCTCTAATGGAGAATACATGGAAAGACTCCAATTCTATGCAGATTCTCATGCCAGGCCCATTTCTGTGATAATTGAATATCCAGTACCTCCAGATGTTACAGAGCCACAGATACTATTTCTGTCATAGGGATGCAATAGCCTCCAAGACTAGCAAGACTGCCCTTTATATTACGGGCTGAATGTTCAGTGTATTCACAGAGTTGCCAGTCCATTATCTCCCTTTCTCTTTCTTTCCCCAAATGTCTCGTTAACGAATCCCAGCAGCACTTAAAAGGTGCAGACCCCCTGGAGCTTCCAAAATCCTGGCCACACAGCTTTCCGCAGCAGACCCATACCATGGCTCTCCATGGGATAGGCATCTGACTCACAGGAAAGAGACTGGAGGAAAAACTGAGAGAACCCAAAAGAGGGCTCTTGGCAGCTGGGCAGAGCAAGAAGCCAGCTTTCCACCCCCACTTGGCCTGCTCTCTCCCTTCTCCTCCCATTCCCCCAGCATGCTTTAGCTGCTTTCTCCAGAGCAGCAGGAGCCCCGTCTTCACTAATGCTCGATGCTGGGCCCTTTAAGACACTTCAGAGTTCCAATTCTTTTCTTTAGGTGGGGGGGGAGGGAAGAGAAAACAAACCAGCATTGTGGAAAGGTTGGTATTTCTCTAATAGGGCCCAGATGTCTCCACTTGGTTTTGCAGTCTAGCCCTGCCATAACCGGGTAGGGAGGGGCTGACATCCACTCCACCCACCCCAACTTTCCACAAGTGCTAGCCTAACCCAGTTTCACCCTGTGATCATCCTCCCCCCACAACCCCTGAGGGTCCCCCTCCACTAGCCCTCTTCAACCAGATGCCCAAAATTCTGCAGCCAGCTCCTCCACCACCAGTACTAGGCACTCTGCTGTGCTTTAAACAGTCTCCTTTCCTTTGGCCACTTGCCGCGGCACACTGGAGCTGGGTCTGACAACTCAACAGAAGCACAGAAGTCACAGGGTTTGTCTGCCCAAACAGCAACTGAATTATATGCTCCAGGCTGCAGCTTTTAACAAAAGCATGGAGGGTAACTATAGGGCCTTGAGATACCAGCTTCTCTCCAAGCTGTGAAGGAAGGACAGAGATGCACAAATTCCTCCATCAGTGGGGATGAGAGAGAATCTGCAACAGAGCTATGGAGATGGCCATATCTGAAAGGGAGCAGTATCCAAGGTTAGATTCTAAAAGGATAGAATCTGACCCATTTTCATGTGACATCTGAGAATAAACAGCCTCTTCTCATGAAGGGGCAAAAACACCTAGACAGTAGAGACTACCATTCCCACCCAGGGCAGAGAGGCCCTAAAGGGTGGAGTCAGCCATAGGTCCCATGTGTGGGACTGAAGTTTAGGATGGGAATGCTAAATCCTGGGGCTTTTCAAGCTGCCGCCAAAATAGACGGACTCTCTAAGCTAAGCATGGCCATGGAATCCAAGTGGAAGTTACTTCCTTTCCCCTCCCCAGAGGCCAGACATCAAGGAGCTGAACTGGTGAAGGGGGGGGGAGGGTAGGGGAGGAGTGGGGGTGATATACCTTGATTTTAGCAAGGCTTTTGATATAGTCTCCCACAACATTCTCA